CTTGCCGCCAGCTCTGCCGAGAGAAGAACCAATGTCGAGAAGGGAGCCAACCGCTGACCACTGTCGCACTCGAGCACTCAATGTCAAAAATATAAAAATTCTCCTACTCATGCGGAATTCAATTTCGAGCACCCCAGTGGCCATATCAAAGTAAAACGAATGGCGGGTGAGTAAAAAACTATGGATAAAGACCAGCGGAGCTGCTGCGGGCAAAACTCGCGACCTCCTCTGATGAGCCCTTTTCCGTTTTTCATTTCGTGTGATTTTTTCACCGTTGTATTCACTGTTCTATTTTCTACAGGTTGACTGAATAAAAAATCCCAGCCGCGAAGGTAAACCGGTAGAGCTGTCGCACCTAGAAAACCCTACCACCGATAAGTTTCTGTTTTCTGATTTTTTGGCCAACCGAGACCCCCTAACATATTTTTTCACAATGATATGTATAAAGGCTGCCAAAACTGGTTAAAACTGACTGAAAATGGCCAGGTCGAGGCAAACCATCACCGAAGCACGGTGGTGCCGCCATGCCGGAACCACGAAATATGCCATAAAGGATTTTTAACACTAATTTTATATTTTTGGGGTATTTTTAGGTACGTGAAACATGTTTTAATCTCCGCAAAAAAATTTAGAAAATATGGGGACCGCTAGTAGGCGCAGTAGAAAGTTCGGTGTTTCGGACACTGATTCGGATAAAAATCCCTCACTCTATTCTCTGCTATGGAATTGAAACTTAATAATCAATAATATAGTATTTTGATAAATTTAGAAAAACTTTGAGAATAATTACAAGTCACTAATGGAGCCGGAACTGATTAGTAATTTATTTATCATGTTTAACTGATTATTTGAATTTACAACCTTAAATACATGATAATATATTGAAATAGTTAAATAATTCAGTTGTACTTTCTTGATGCATATATCGTTTGTCTTCCGTGATTTACGGTTGATTTGTGAAATTTGAAATTAATATGCAAATGAGAAATTGCTTGGTTATGTGAATTAATGAATGGTTGTCTTATTGGATATTCTGTGAGATGATAGACGAACTGGGTAGGGAATCATACAGTGAACGTTACCTCATACCGGACGGGGTATCGAGGGATGATATTTTTTGTGCTCATATCGGACGGAGTATCGAGGGATGATATTTTTGGCACTCATATCGGACGGTGTATGAGGACGTCTAGTTAGTTGACAAGTTTAAATATTAGGTTCACGCGTAGTGGGACACCCCTATGGACCCCCAATGATACCATTAAGCAAAATAAAAAGGAAAAATTGTTGTTTTTGTTCACTTGAATATGATATCATAATGTTACTTGAGTTATTGTTTCTATAAGTTGGTTTCAGAAATCTCATAACGGTAAGCATGTAATAAATAATTTTTTTATAATAAATGAATTTACTTAAATTAAGAGCTCAATTGATTATTTTTATAATTTTTACTAATATTTAGTTTCTGTATCGGTGAGTAGTATGATATTCTTATTGGGGTAGTATAGCTCACCCCTTCCCCTATTAACCATTTCAGATCAAGAAGATTAAGATCTATATTCTGATCAGCATGAGGATTGTGAGTAGGTGTCCTCCCAGATTTTATCAAGAGCTAGTAGAGGTTAACTTTCGTAAAATATTTATTTATTATTTTCATATGTTATTACGTTTTTTATTTTATGAACCGCTAGGAAATGGACATTTTTGTAACCCTATTGGACATGCTAATTTATGTGTAATGAATGTAAACCCTAACGTTATTATACGTTTTCATATTTAATTTATGACCTTATTTTCCTTCTAATTCCGGGCTGCTACATAATGCGTGCTTGTGGACACTATTGGTGATTAGCGATTGTGGGGAGCAACAACTAGTTTTGGTCAAAATGGGAGGTGCACTAGACTGGTTGGTGGCTACAAGAAGCAATGACTGCTTTTAGGGTCGACTAGTGGAAGTGGTCAATCTTGTAGCGGCTAACAATAGGAGGGTGGTGGTCGATTATGAAGGTTGACCCATTTTAGATTTTATTTTTTATTTTAGCAATGAAAACCAAGTAGAGTTTACAAAATAGTTTAGAAATTTTAAACTTAAAACTCTGGTATCATATTAAGAATAATTTTTTAATTGGTACGGGTTCTATTAACATTACAACCTTATATATATAGGTTTTTTTAAGGATGGAAAAAAATAAACAATAATTAAAATTAATTACAAGAGTGTCCCTTTACTCTTTAATTATTTATTTTCTCTTTAAGGCCCCTTTTATTTCTTCAAACTCTATAATTTACCTCACTTTTTGATACATTTATTTATATTATCTTTAATACTCTAATTTACTTTCTTTTTAATATCATTATTTTATTCCTTTTTAACAATGATTGTATGAGTGAATTTTACTAAAACTGCCTAGTTATTGTTTTATAGAATCCTTTTTATTATCTTTAATGTTATTATTACTAATTTTTAATTGAATAAAATTGGGATATGACAAACAATTAATGAATAAACGATTTTTGAATAAATTATTATATACAAGAGGAGTGTAATAATTTGGTATTACATTTATGTTAACAAATTGATAAGTAATGTATAATTATAAAATTTTATTGGTAAACTCAAAAATTGGTCAAGCACAATTTAAAAACAATACTACATATGTATATATATATATATGAACATTTAGTCATTGCAAAAATAAACTTTCAAGATTATTGTTTTTTAAATGTTTTTAATACCTTATTCTCTCTCTCTCTCTCTCTCTCTCTCTGAGATTGGGAGTAGCTAATTTTCCTAAAAAGGAAATTAAATTTTTTTTACATTGTACTTCCTCCTCTTAGATTAATTTCATTTATTATCTATAATATACTAGATATATATCATTAGATTCATTATAAAGAAATGGCCACATTCATGACTTTTCTATATATCATTTAATTTAATGTACCCCTCTAAAATAAAAATAATATTCCTTTTATGTTCTCCTCTTTTATTAAATTGCCTTATTGAGAAATGTATAGTACTATTGATGTACCTTTTGTTTTTGTTTTTTTAATTTCTCCTTCAATTTGTTCTCCATAAATACTCCTTCATTGGCCTTATAATCTCATTAAACGTCGTTTATTGTCTACCATCCTTCTTTTGATCTTCATTATAGTGATGGATTCCATGGCTCGTCATGTGTCTTTTTTCATGGCTATTCTTGTGTTCATGGGTTTGGCGGCTTGTGGAGGGGGTAATGATCATACTGGATGGAGAGATGCACATGCAACCTTTTATGGTGATTTAGGAGGTGGAGAAACCATGCGTGAGTATTTGCATAATTACTTTTTTTTTTTTTTTTCTTTTTCATCGTAACGTAGTTTTTCATGAAATTACTATTATATTTTCAGTTTTACATCTAACATTAGATTAGCCATAACATGCATAGGTAGAAAATATTTTTTATTGAGTTATCACCATTCCAACTTTAAATTCCTTAAAGTTAAGAGATTCAATTCCTATATTTTAAGATAATAAATAATTTTATGTGTCAAGTGATCGATCCATGTATTAATTGGTACAGAAGGTGCTTGTGGATATGAAAATTTGTTCGAGCAAGGGTATGGACTAGAAACAGCAGCACTAAGTTCTGTACTATTCCGAGAGGGAGCAATGTGTGGTGCGTGCTTTGAAATCATGTGTGTCAACGATCCTAAATGGTGCATAAAAGGTGCAGACCCTATTAGAGTAACAGCCACCAATTTTTGCCCACCGAATTACACAAAGTCCGAAGGAAATTGGTGCAATCCACCACTTGAACATTTTGATTTAACATTAAAAATGTTTCTTCGCATTGCAAAATATAAAGCTGGAATTGTTCCTGTCAAATATCGTCGCGTCTTATGCTACAAGCAAGGAGGAGTCCATTTTGTGATAAAGGGTAATTCATATTGGATTTTGGTATTGGTGTACAACGTTGCACGTTCTGGTGTTGTTTCTGCAGTTCAAATTAAAGGTTCTAATACTAATTGGATGCCAATGTCACGTAACTGGGGCATGAATTGGCATACTTTTAGTCGTCTTGCAGGGCAAAGCTTATCATTTCGTGTAACTACAAGTGACGGCAAAATGTTGCAATTCAATAATCTTGTACCGGCTAATTGGCAATTTAATTCTGTCTATGATGGAAAAAAGAATTTTTAAGACCGTTCATGTAAAAAAATTATGGTGATTTGTACCTTAAAATTAGTATTAATACTTCTCAATTTTTTAATATAATAATAGATAGAACAAAGTTGAGTATTTCTTTTAAAAATAAATTTTACTTGTTTCAATGTTATATTAATTGATATGGGTGTTGCTATAATTCTGTTTTTTTTTTCTTCTTCTTTTTGTTCTACTATCATTTTTACTTCTTTATCATTATATACACATTGATTTGGTTGGAGTTAAAAATCTAAATTAATACGAGATCTTACTTGGGGTCTGACCCAAACTTGTTCTGATTTGATTCAATTCTTATTTTTAATTATTTGACATTTAAAAGTTAGTCGTATCTCATACATTTGATGCAGACATGAAACAAAATTACTTAATTATTCGACTCGATAACCATAAATTTATATTCTTATATGTTAATCAATTAATTGGAAAACACCTAATTTGAATTGGATATATAATTTATTTGGAATTTGGACATTATTACATTCACATTTACTTTACATGAATCCAATACCAAAAATTTGTACTTATTATTCCACCCAATTCTATGTCAACATCAAAATGTTCCTTTAAAATACTCGGTCTGTCGTTTCATTGATTGGGCCAAAAATTTGAAAGGCCTTAGACTAATTTTAATTTTGAAGCTGGATTGGACTTGGGTAAAAGGTGGGCTTTGTTTTTATTTCGATTTGGATTTATATACGTTTAATATATACACACACACACACATATTATTAATTACATATCGCATAAAATATATTTTTACAATGTTCCAAATATGTTCGAAACAACGACGAGCATAAAATCCGTAAGTTTTTACAATATAAATATGCAATTTACAAGATACACAAACTTTTTAAATTCTATTTTTTTTTCTTGCATTTTATGTATTGATAAAAATGATTTTTATTTGACATGATTTTTTTTTCTATTTTTAAAATTTTATATTTTAACCCATATTGTTTGTAAAGTAAATGAATAATAGAATTTAGTATAATATAAAAATAATTATCAAATTTAATTGACGACGAGATATACTCTATATTTTAAGTATTCGATTTTGATTTCTATTTATACTATTTCAGAAATAAAAAGTTTAAGAAATTATTTAATTTAGCACTAGAAAACTGATTTGAAAATGTTGCTACCTATATTTTTCTAAATAATATTTAAAATTCAACCATTTGGTATTTCTTGTATTCAAACTTATTACATATGACTTATTTTTATTATTTTTGGTATTATTTACTACCATTTGTTTTAATATGATGTACATTGGTTTATAACAAATGATAGAACAAATTATCAAATTAATTCATGATGTTTGATAATTTTTATAATTTATTTATTAATATTTTTTATTATAATTTGATTTTTAGCGTTTTCTATTTATTTCAAACGTAAAATTTATTTTTATTTTCTAATAGAAAGATTAAAATAATTAGGTTGTGTTTAGATATTTTTTAAAAAATAATTAAAAAGAATAATTTTAACTTATTAGTTAAATTGATAATAATAATAAAAAAAATATGTCTATTATTATTATTAATAATATTAATTTAATTAATTAGTTACATTTGTTTTTTCTTGAATTGTATAGCTTTCAGAAAAACTCAAAGATTAAGATGGTGATATATTTTTCAGATGCCGATAAATGTGAAGTAGGTGATTATGGAAGAGTTGTTTATGTTTTACATTGATGCTCTTCCCTGGATTCGATGTACTATAAAGAACCTCATATTTGAATATATCTATATACTTGTTCTGAGGACCTATATAGCCGTTCATATAAACTACGCGAAACAAATAACAAAGCACTTTTGTTGATATAGCCTCTATTAAGAATAGTCTCAAACCAGTGTAAATCATTTTTTTTTAATAATAAAAGAAAAAAAAAATTTGAATAGGAAACACTTTCTAGTACTAAATGTAACATTCCGAGTCCAAAAATTAGGGTCGTGGTAGGGAATTGTATTGTTTTTTAAGTAATAATAATATTAAGTACTAAATTTAAAATATGATTAATTATTTTTATTGATTTTTTTTAATATATGCATTTTGGACGTTTTTAAAATAATTTTCAAATTCTAAACAAAAGGGATATGTTTGAAAGAAAATTTCAAAATAGGGATCAAATCGTAGAAAAAAAAATACAAACCACGTGTATGCCTAGTCAGTGGCGTGACGAACTGTCGTGCGCCGCGTGGCGGACATGCCAACACGGGTTTCACATGGGAAGTCACGCAGGCAATTCGCATGCCAGATCGATCAAATGGCTCGGGGCCACTATTGCGTGTACGAACGTTCTAGATTAATTTCCCGAATAAACGCGATTAAATGGTCCGTGTGTCTTCAACTGAACATTCGGATT